AGTGCAACTCGCTGGACATTTTACATTTTGCAAGTGCAGCGAAACAATAGTTTGCAGAAATGTCGCTACAAGCTGAAAATAAAAAATGGCCTCACCCCGAAAGAGGAAAGAAAAATGTATAAAAAAAAAAAAGTTACAGCAAATACTGAACTGGAGATTTATTTTGGTATGCATTAATTTACAGAAGCACTCTCTGCCCGTTTGCAGACTTTGGATTGGCTGACATGACTTTGGAAGGCGGGGTTTTGCAAAGGGGGCATGTAGTTGAAAGAATAGGGGTGAGGAAAAACCCATAAAAAGAATAAAATTGTCATATTTGAGTAGTGCATCCCACCCTAAGACGATGAATGACTCCACTCCAGTTCAACTGACTGGGCTTTGAAAACCACTAACCCACAATAGCTTCAGATCTGAGCTGGTCATGTGAGCGATTTTCTACGATTTTAGTCTTTCAGTATTCTGTTCTGGCCTGAAAACACAAGCCATTTAGCATATCCGAATACTTTTTAACGCCCTGTGTAAACTTCACAGCAGTTTCTGGTCTGCATCCAGAAAGCATGTTTGTGGTGTGTGATAACATTTAACTAGGAATGCATGTCTCCTAAAACTGTTCCAGGACCTTCACCGGCAGGTAAAGCTGAATTTGAGCGCATTGGGAAAACTCAACATGGCTCTCAGAGAATACAGCTGTTATCCTAGATGTTTTAAAACAGATGACTCAATGCCTGGGTTATCTTAAGCTAAACAGCAATTACTGGAAGCAAAACTATGATTAACACAGTTTTGTTTCAAAACATTTATGAAGATGAAGTAGATCAGACCAGGATATGTGTTCAGACATGGTTAATGGACGATTGGGTTGAATAGCAACGGCTTCAAAATCTCGTATCGAACCTATATGACTTATTTTCCTCAGTGGAACAGAAACAGACATTTTTTTTTTTTAAAAAGATGTCTCAGTATTTTTTTTTTTGTATGCACAAAGAAAGCAAATGTTATGTCGTTAAAGACTTTATTGGCTTTCTTTCATTCATGCATTTGGCAGATGCTTTTCTCCAAAGCAACTTACATCCAATTCAAAAGATTTTATCAGTTCAAGCATTTCCCTGGGAATCAAAACCATAACCCTGTGTAAGCTACATCAATGTATTATATATATATATATATATATATATATATATATATATATATATATATATGAAGAGTTCAGATGCAAAAGCCTCTAAAATGCCATTTGAAATTTTCTTCTTTAATGATGATTTTTATCAAACTTGTATATTTAAGTTCAGTAATTTCACTTAAATAACAATTAATAGGTAATTATCATTGCCATTTTAGTGAAATCACTGAACTTAAATATACAAGTTTGATAAAAATCATCATTAAAGAAGAAAATTTCAAATGGCACTTAGAGGCTTTTGCATCTGAACTCTTCATATATATATATATATATATATATATATATATATATATAATTTGTGTTTCACAGAATAAAGTAAGTCCGGTTTGGGCAGACAAGAGGATGAGTAAGATGACATCATTTTTGGGTAAACTATCTCTTTAAACCTCTAAAGTTGCACCAGCAAAAATCTCAAGAGTTCAGTTTCTCTAAGGACGTCTGGTTTGAGGGCTGCAGTGCAAATACCACGCTAAGCATTCCCACGGACAACTTCTTTGTTTTATTCCACTTGTTAAACAGCAGGCCACGGGCTGCTAGACTGATTCTGAATCACTACCCAAGGCTGGCTCTTCCCAGAAAGCCTTTGGGCCACATGAAAGTAGAAGTGGAAGCAATGATGCCAGACTTGTATCTGGTCCTTTTTTAGCCATTTGCTAATTGTGTAACCGATATTCCATTGATATATATATATATATATATATATATATATATATATATATATATATATATATATATATATATATATATATATGAAGAGTTCAGATGCAAAAGCCTCTAAATGCCATTTGAAATTTTCTTCTAAAATTATCATTTTTATCAAGCTTGTATATTTAAGTTCAGTAATTTCACTTAAATGGCAATGAAGATTATTAATTATTAAACCTAGTTAATTAAACCTATTAATTGTCATTTAAGTGAAATTACTGAACTTAAATATACAAGCTTGATAAAAATGATCATTTTAGAAGAAAATTTCAAATGGCACTTAGAGGCTTTTGCATCTGAACTCTTCATATACAGTGGTATGAATAAGTTTTGGCACCCTTGCTAAAGTTGCCTAAAAAGAGGAATAAAAAATCATCTTTTGGATATTGATCTTAATGCCTAAATTAGAAAAATGAGGAAAACTCCAACCTTTAAAGACACCAATTTTCTTTGTGAATGAATAATGTCTCATAAATAAATAAATGTTTTTCCTTAAAATACAGGGTGCATAAGTCAGGGCACCCCTATGTTAAATTCCCATAGAGTCAGGCAGATTTTTGTTTTTAAAAGCCAGTTATTTCATGGATCCAGGATAATGTGCATCCTGATAAAGTTCCCTTGGCCTTTGGAATTAAAATATCCCCACATCATCACACACCATTCACCACACCTTGAGATTGGCATGGGGTACTTTCCATAAGATCATCTTTCAATGCAAATCAAACCAGCTATTAGGCTAACTGAAGTAAAACTATGCCAATCTCTAGGTGTGGTGGAAGGTGTGTGATGATGTGGGGATATTTTAATTCCAAAGGCCAAGGGAACTTTATCAGGATGCATATTATCCTGGATCCATGAAATAACTGGCTTTTGAAAATAAAAATCTGCCTGACTCTATGGGAATTTAACATAGGGGTGCCCTGACTTATGCACCCTGTATTTTAAGGAAAAACATTTATTTATTTATAATACATTATTCATTCACAAAGAAAATTGGTGTCCTTAAAGGTTGGACTTTTCCTCATTTTTCTAATTAAGGCATTAAAATCAATATCCAAAAGATGATTTTTTATTCCTCTTTTTAGGCAACTTTAGCATGGGTGCCAAAACGTATTCATACCACTATATATATATATATATATATATATAGCGGGACTTTCTGAAATGATTCACAATACATAGGAAAGAGGAATGAAGCAATCTTTTGGTCAGTTTGCCATCAGTCATTAAGTTAAGATTCCAAAATAGTTGCGTGTCAATGACCATAAAGTTTAGGATTGGGACTGTTGAGGTAAGATGTCAAAATAATACTTTTTTTAAAACCAGACAAACATGCCGATTCCTCAAAAACAGATCCAGAAGCCCAATAATGGAGCACCTGAAGCCAAAAACTCTTGTGCAATACAGCTGTTGTTTTGTGATGCTTTGATGCATTCGGTGTTGTGAACTCTATGCACGCAACGGCACAGTGATTAAAAATACTGAATAATGCATGCAAATGAAATTGCTTAAATTGTTTAAGGCTTGTAATGTTCTTAGAGGACTGCAGATGTTCATGTGCATGTGATTTTACTAAATGTCAGTTTTTCCGAAGTCTGTAAAGAGGAAAAGGGGGGTGTTGGGGTTGGCTATGTCTTCTGCCATCACATCATGGGAAAAACTGGGACTTCGTATGAGATGTTTTTGCTTGCTCTCGGCTGAACACTTCCAGAGCATGTTGCATGACACATGAAAAAGGATTTATGACGCATTTACTGGTTTCTAATGTGTAAAAACTTAAATATCTAACAGATTTGATTCATCTAATATACCCTAAATGCTTCTTGACACATAGTCAAAGAATATCTTATCATTATATTCATACACTCTAAAAAATACTGGGTTGTTTAAACCCAAATTTGGGTAAAATATGGAAAATAATATGGAAAATAAATTAATAATATGGAAAAAAATGAAATATGGAAAATAAAAAATAAACCCAAATGTTGGGTTAAAAATGCGATTAAAAAATTAGTTGAAAGTGAAATGAAAATTTGAAATTGCATTTTTAACCTAATATTTGGGTTTGTCCATATTTTACCCAAATTTGGGTTCAAACAACCCAGCATTGTTTAGAGTCCTTCATGCCTTCATACTATGTTCATACTTCAACTCTATGTCCTTCATAGCAATAAAGGAACTAAAACATCCTAAAAACAACTAAACAAATAAATTTGAGATCAATGCTGTTTAGACAACCCACACATTCTAATGGGAGTCTCATATGTGCCAGCATAACTTATATTTACATTCAAACTCACACGTACAAAAAAAGGTGTTTAATGTAAATAAATGTGCAATTGGATTAAACATCCTGTAAAGAATCTTCCCAGACCGACACAGATCATGGGAAAGGATGTAGTCTGTTAAACAATGGTGAAGGACAAGAGACAGGAAAAGAGAACCACAGAGGAATGAAGTTGTGACTGACTGAAGTGCTTATTCAGCAAACTTCACATGTACCACCCCTCGGCTCTCATCATCACATACACTCACACACACAAATCAACAAGTTGGCACAATACAAAAATAAACCGGGTGACTTCTGCAAACTGTCACTGTCTACACTACGCAATGTCAGCAATGCCATAGAAGATCCATTTTAGGTTCCACAAAGAACACTGTTAATCTGAAACATCATTCAACAAATCAAAAAAACTTTTTTGTTTTTGTTTAATACTGCAGTGCACAGCATTTCTCCTTGAACTCTAATTGAACCCAGACAAGTGATAGCCTACCAAACAATGGACATCTGGTGAATATCTATTTTGGTGATTCTGAATGTTTGGGGAAAATACAGAGGATGTGAGTGGAAATGTACTGGCCTATTTTATCCAGGCAGTATGTGGAAAACATCAGGCCAACAGACCAAAAGAATCCCTAACATTTGCACTTCATATAGATCAAGTTGCCTTTAAATGTGATTGACGTGTTTATGTTGGAGAGCAGCTGCAAAACCAAAGAGATTAAAGATTATAATTTACAGATATCGTTCCTTTAAGTTCGAGGGAGCGAGAGAGATTAATTCTTTGTTTAAAATAATGAGCAAAACTATTGAATAATAACTGTTACTTACTTGTCAAGGACAAAATACAAGTCGAATGCGCCTTGACATGATCTCTCCTCCTCCACATCTTCTTCGGCTCCGGCAGATGGAAGCGTGAACAACAAAAGTCCAAAGAAAAGCACGACGAGACACATTTCTACGACTAAACGTGCCATCGTTTCTTATCGCAAAAACATCAATCCTCAGTCAAACAAATGGCCATTCACATTATCTTTAATATCTAACTTGAAATGAGCCTCTGCTGAGATCCTGAGGGAAGGATGCACACAAAGAAGAGGAGTTTTTGCGGATGTTGACGTAGTCCTTACTCACTCACATCAGTCTGAAAACTTCAGATAAGACGCTATTCCCAATATCCACTGCACAGAAAGCCGATGTCCAGGGAAAAAAAACACCTCAGAAAAAAATTGTTTGGTGTTTTTGATATAAAACACGGGACACTTTGCTGTTTTGGGGGAGTTTGAAGAACTATTGAAGCACGAAATCCACGTGTAACAAGGCTAGATGTATTTTTCCCCAAGCGCTTGAAAGCTATTTAATGTAAATGTGCAAAGCAAAGACTGGTCGTTTGAGAAAAGAGCCCAGCTCAGAGTTGGCAGAGGATCTGGTGTCGAATTTCGACCCTTGTAGGAAAAATTTGGGGCAGTTTCTTCTCCTGCTCCTTGAAGGTTTCCTCCCTTTCTTTTTGGATATGCAAAATATGTGTTTTTTGCGAGGTCTTTTCGCTGTTTTCTGTCGTCTGCTTTTGACGATAATAAAATAAAACAGAAAATTAAAACTAGAGTAGGCTATAATTTTTATTTTTAAGCATTTTACAAAAGGCTTACCAGTATGACTTTATTTCTTATTTTTGTATAAACCACAATTATCTAAGTGCAATTTCCAGGTGTTGGGTCAAGATTAATTAACTAACAAATTAATGTTTCTATTTTATTTATTTCCCCCTTTCTGCCCTGTCAGCAGTTTATATCCATAGCTATACCAGTAGGGCTGTCCAAGGATTAATCGTGATTAAACGCATCCAAAATAAAAGTTTGTGCACATATTATTATTTTGTAGGATATAAAAATACACACACATGCATGTTTATTTAAGAAAAAAAAATATATAAAATATTTATATATAAATCTATATAGGCTACAGTATACATGAAAATATTCCTTAAATATATACAAGTGTTTGTATTTACATTTATATAAACTAATTATACACAGTGCACCCACATATATTATGTAAACACAAACTTTTCGCGATTAATCGTTTGACTATAGTACCAGTAGGTGTCGTTAACCCCCTGGGGACCAAAAACCCGTCCCCAGGTTTTGATGGTTTTTTTTTTTCTCACATAGCTGCAACATAGACTTAAAATACTACATCATTAATGGTCATATAAATAAAATCAATACATGATTATAAACTATAGAGGGTTTTCTTTTTTGTGTACAATCTTATTAACATAAATTAACATTTTTGTAAAATAAATAAAATAATCAGGGTGCGCTTTGAGCTCGTCTCCGCAAAAAATCTTTCTGAAACGCATCTGAAAAATTAACTGTAACTCAGTAAATAGCTACTTGTCACAGAGACACGAAAGATCTCTTTATGAAGCTGAAATTCTCTTCTTTTAAATGAAGTATTTATATAAAAAGCAGCAACTATTCTCAGTTGATGTAATCTGTATGAAAGAGAGAGATGTCAGTCTTTTTCTTTTCACCTAATTATAGCGTATGACGGTTAATGTGATTGTGACCCCGCCCACTGAGAGCGCGCGCTATTCAAATGCCAATGTTGAGGCAAGCCATGAAAACGCTGTAACTCAGTAAATAGCTACTTGTCACAGAGACACGAAAGATCTCTTTATGAAGCTGAAATTCTCTTCTTTTAAATGAAGTATTTATATAAAAAGCAGCAACTATTCTCAGTTGATGTAATCTGTATGAAAGAGAGAGATGTCAGTCTTTTTCTTTTCACCTAATTATAGCGTATGACGGTTAATGTGATTGTGACCCCGCCCACTGAGAGCGCGCGCTATTCAAATGCCAATGTTGAGGCAAGCCATGAAAACGCCCACATCAGCTGGATAAAACATCCAGTTTATCACAAATCTAACCTTACCTCGTGTTGCTGCGCTGTGAGGAATAATACGGTCATAATAATCCTGGAAAAGTTACCTCAGTTACCTGTTTCATTTCGAGGAGCACCGATTCAGCTGATGTAGGCTAAGTCATTTATTCTTAAGTACTTTGTTCAAATCGCGTTATTGAACAGTGTCTGTTAAAGGAGAACTCCGGCGAACAATGAACCTTTGGTCTAAAACATCGGTACATAGTCAATCGTTCTCTGAGATTTGTTTTCATGATAATCGAATGTAAAGAGTTTTATCTCTAAAAACTGTTTAGCGTATAATGCTAGTAATGGGGGCATTGACTAAGTAAAAAGAAATCGCTAGTTTATACCACTAACAAGGCTCAAAATAGCCCCACACTCACACAGTAACATAATGAGGCTCCATACATGCAAAACGAAGCATTGAGAACTTTATAAGTGTACAGACCGTTTAATAAGAAGATACTTTATGAAGACAGTTCACTTCGCGTATACAGACAGGAGCCATCTTAAAAAATAGTCTCGATAAGTCAAACCACGAACGTCGTGCTGAGTGATCTGTATGAAGTTCAGCGAACTTCTGAACTGTATGAGCGGCGTTCGGGGATCGACTTATCGAGACTATTTTTTAAGATGGCTCCTGTCTGTATACGCGAAGTGAACTGTCTTCATAAAGTATCTTCTTATTAAACGGTCTGCACACTTCCAAAGTTCTCAATGCTTCGTTTTGCACAAAGACTGTTTAAATATTAAATGCGCACACAGACAGGCCTTGCGCGCTGTGAGTTCAATCACATTCGCTCCTACATTAGTAAAACTATAGACTAGGCTACTGAGATTTGTTCTATACTGATCTGTAAAACCAAAAAGACTGTTTAAATATGATTCGGGTGTGTGAACGAACGGACGCACAGATGCAGAGCCTACTGTTACAGACGAAATAGATGATAAAGTTTTTACTATAAAATAGACATCAAATAAGCTTTAGTTAGACAGTTTCTGCTTACATGTTAAGCATGAGTACCTTTTTATGCCAAATCTCCAAGGCTGCATCTGAAATCGCACACATACTACAGTACATAGTAGGCGAAAAAAAGTATGTGACCAAAGAAGTATGTCTGATTTCTGAGTACTCAGCAGGCAAAAAGTCCCCAAATGACCTACTTCTTCCGTTGACATCTTGTTAATGAACAATATTGATCACATAACGAACTAAATGAATGTATTTCTAATATAGTGTTTGTCATATCCCCTATATGAGGATGGCGTGAATAAAAATGAGTGAACAAATTCGGACAATCTGGATATATCTGAATATTGTGCTTCGCAGGGGGCTGTGGATTTCATGCAAAAACGTCATATTGGCCAATATTATATCATTTTACAAGGCCACATTTGTACATCAATAAGGGTTGTGGCACTATGTGCCATTCACCATATTGAAAATAGTAAATGTGTGAACAAGTGACTGATTACACAGCCCTTCAGCTTCTATTTATAATGCAGGGGGCGGAGCTTCAAATTCTAGAGAGCATTTGATTGGACAGAAAATCTGATGAGAAGCTGAAGTGCAGAGTGATGTCTAAATCACTGATCCATATTGGCAGACTGTAAGTTTTGATTGCTTATATCTTCTAAATGTGAAAATTATCATTGTTTTGGAGCACACTAGCTTATAGATACCAATAAGGCTAACATTTTCACTCTAAAAGCCAAAAAACGTAAAGTTCGATTTCATGGGGACTTTAATAAAACACCCAACACACTCCGCAACATGTGACCGGCTGAAGCTAATATAAACCGAAGTGCAAGGTAAAACTGAACATAATAGCAGACTGAATGACGAACTCATGTGAACTCATTCGAATTCCTAACTTGATGTCGTAATTGTTGAGCTGCTTAGACCAGTGGATTATGTTATGGGTTTAGATGCTTGTATATTACTGCCATTGGTTCTGCTAGCTGTTGTAGCAGGTAAACCACCATGACCAGTGTAGCCATGTATAACCAACTAACCGGCCAAAATCAGTATGACCGTGCCCAAAACATATCTAACGAGTTAACACAGTACTTCATACAGAAATCAGTTTTTATTGTTGATCTCTAACTTTGACACACGCCATTACACTATAGTGTGTTGAAGATAATTTATTCCTAGTAAAGTCCTGTTGACAAAAAGTGCTCCATAATTGAAACTTTAGTATGGCAGTGGATATATAATAGCATGCTTTGGTCCAATGCTGGATGAAGAAGATATGCTGCCATCTTCTGGTTGTTGATGATAATTTCTAAAAGATGCAGTAAATCCATGTATAGTTTTGTAATGACGGTCAAAACAGCTAAAAGTGCATTTTAGACTTACCAAATATGAAGTGTTTTTGCTTACATTCTGTGTAGGTAAGTGTGTTTTTGTTCTAACTGTGATTTTAAAAATTAGTTGCGATTGCAAATCACGCGTCTGGAATTGGTTTATGTTTGCTAAGCTAATTTTAGCTCAGTTGTAAGGAAAAATTCATGTGATACAGTATTTATTAAGTTTTAAAATCTAGTTTCAATTGCGATTTCCCACAAATAGATTTAAGTTACATTAACAAGACAATTTTCATCATTTTCTTTTTACAGTATATGCATGAGTTTACAATACAAGCATACACAAGCATGAACACATTGTAATGTGAACAAAGTAAACTAGTAGCTACACCAACACTTATTTTCAAGTTCAGACCAGGCCTAATCTGAATATCACTTGTTACCTGCATCAAGTTTGCTTTTAGAGATCGCAAGCTTCAGATTGGATGCAGGGTTAGAAATAATACAGATCTCACGGGAATTCGTACGAATTTTACGAGGTGGCTAATTCGTAACAATTTGCTAAATCGTACATATTTTACGAATTAGCCAATTAGTATGAATTCGTACAAATGCTACCCCTGACCCCGCCCCTAAACATATCCGTCACGTGGGTTTAGACAAATCGTACAAATTCGTACGAGTGAGGTCGTATGAATTAGTACAAATTAGCCACTTTTGAATCACTCGTACAAATTCGTACAAATTGGTTGTGAGATAGCGTAGGAAAAATAGAAAAGATTTGAACTAGCTTAAAAGGGTCATGAACTGGCTTTTTAATTTTTTTATATTGTTGTCTGAAGTCAACTTATGATGTTCACTTGGTTTTTACAGTAAAAAACATCAAAATGAGTAAGTAATAGGCTATTTCCTACCCTAGTTTTGAGCCCAGCTTAAAAACGCTCGATTTTTATGGACATCTCGCATTGAATGAAGACTTGAAAGTAAACGCCCACTGCTGTGAGTGGAGAACAGTTTTGCATATTATAATGAGTTTCGGCGTTGATCTTCTTCTGCGGGGGTGGCGTTTTATCCTCTTTGACGTCATAGTTCCCCCACTTTGAAAAAACGAGTCGTTTGCTGAGGCTGGTGTCAATAAAAGCTTTTATTGGACTAACAAAGACGTTTTCAGTTTTGAAACTTACAGGATATT